GAGAATCTGATTTAGTATCATGACTTTTATTCATTTCTAAGATAGAATTTTTATGGCTCATCAAGGAGTAAGCAGTCCACCATAAGAAGTTGTCTTTTTGTTCATTTTAGAAAGCGCCTTGGTGTTATTGTCTCTGAAAAATCAACACAGTTTAAAAGCAAGGGGACAGGCATCCTGTTCTCTCTCCCCTCTTCCTTTTCAAGTTCACCGAATTTGCCCTAAAAGGCCATCTGAAAGTTTTACCAATTCCTTCCTGAAGCTCATATTGAGTGTCATAGCTTAGCAACAATCATCATTTTATATTTAATTTATAGCTCAGCTAATGTGATGGAATGAACTCCATGCCAGAATCTCTTAATTTCTTTTCCGTTCCTTCACACAACTGCAGACTGGAACCAAATGCTCAGTCAAATATCTTTCTTACATAACTAACAGGAGGTGAGTGTTCTCCCGTTTCTCTTTCTCTCTCACCCTTATTCTCTGTCTTTCTCTGTATTTATAGAACCAGCTTTAAATATAATTAACCAGTGTGCTGAGGGCACCTCAGCGATTGTCCAGATGGCTCAAACTGACCCTGAGAATACATTTCTCTTCACGTTTGATTTCCGAATAGCTGGTGTATCCCCAGCAAGAACTGACCAAGCAATTGACCTGTCCATTTGCAGGTGGTTTCCATTTACCTGCTCTCTGATAATGAATACTAATATTCCTTGATATTGTTCATCCCTAATGCATCTCTATATATTTTCCCCTTTTAGATTTTATTTTATGCTTAATCGGTGGCTCAGTAGGAGGGAAACCTTTAATTAAAAAATTATTTGGTTATTTAGACCAGATTTTCTTTCTAGCATATGTTACAGCTTCTGAAATTAAGGTCTTAAGCTTCATGTCGAGGAGTGCCAGATATTTATTCTAAAAGCGTTTCTGAGAAAGTGAACAGTATAGCTATAAATAAATGAAGAGAAGAGAAAGATGGAGGAAAGAAAGGTTTTATGTTTGATATGTTCTTTCGTTTCCTCTGATCAAATTCTCTGCCAAATTTTTAAATAAAGTTATATAATACCAATTTGGTTACTGTGTAGTCAAGCACTCCTACCATCAGTGCAGATTTTGCATTTCTTTAATTCCAAAATAATGGAAAGCAAATGTTCCAGAATGATCCTAGGAACTGTAAATAAGCCAGAGATGGCAAAGTGTTTGTTAGAAGTGGTGATGCAATATATGATACAGGATTCTCATCCCATTGCCTACTCTGCTCTAAAACCAACTAAATATAACAGAATGATATTTTATAGTAAGTGAAAAATATTCTTTCTAAATAAATATTCTTTCTAAGTTTGTTATTGGGTCAAATTGAGACTTAAGCAAGTGGAACACTATTAAAATTCTAACAATATTTAAGAATGTTAGAATATTTGTGTTCATATATTAGTAAACATAAAAGCAAATGCTTTAGCCCTAGCTGGTTTGGCTCAGTGGATAAAGCATTGGCCTGAGGATTAAATGGTCCAGAGTTTGATTCCAGTCAAGGGCGTGATCCCCAGCAGGGGGCATGCAGGAGGCAGCCAATCAATTATTGATGTTTCTTTCTCTCTCTCCCTCTCCCTTCCTCTCTGCACTCAATAAAAATATATTTTTAAAAAATAAATAAAAGCAAATGTTTTAGCTTTCAATGCCTATTCTGAATGTTCATGGTAATTCTACTGTACCATTTATTCTCTCATTTGTTCACCTGACATACCCACTGTGTACCAGCACTATGAATATGAATAGGGGATGGGAGTAAGGTAAAAAGAAGAAAAGTAAAGAAATGTTAGGAATATTTCAGGCAGAGAGTGCCCCATGAATGGAGAGGTGAAACCACCTGCCATCTATGCTGATTATCTTGATTTCTCTGCAGCATAGGAAGGGAGTCATAACTGGCATAAATGGGAGACAGAATGTAGATGGCTTTGTGTCCTACCCTAGAAGCTGGGTTTTGTCCCTTTACCATAGGTAGAGGGAAAACTGATTCATTTTGAGCAGGTAAGTATCACATATTCCTTAGATATTCTCATTTTCCTTTGATATTCCCAATGGCAACAGTTGAGGGGTGTCATGAGCGGGTATGAAACTACAGATAATACTTATTAGGATGCCATTATTGTAGTCAAGATGAGAGATGAGAAGGGCCTTAATTAAGACTAGAAAAGTGGAAATTTAGAATGTAATGATGATTAGACATCAGTGTCAAAAGAAAGACACAAGTTTAGGGTGACTCTAAGCTTTTTTGGCTTGAACAGCTTGATATAGTGAGGAAGGCAGATGTAAAGGTGGGCTTGTGAACGATGAAGAGGCCAGTTTTGAACATGTTGTGAAGAATATGAGACACATTTCAGTGACAGACAGTTGTGACACATAAGTCTCAAGCTCAGGAGAGAGAGGCCTGAGATGGATAAAACAATTCACCAGATTTGGGAATCATCAAGATGGGTAACTGTTGAAACCCAGGAAGTAATGAGCTTGCTCTGAAAGAACCTATTTGAAGAAAAAAACAAATCCCAGTATCAGAGCCCTGGAGAGCACAAACAGTTAAGCCATCATTAGAAGAAGAAAAATTAGCAAAGAAGAATTTTTAAATAGGAAGGAGGACTACCAAGAGAGTCATGATTCAGAAAGGAAGGCAAGAAATAATTTCAAAATTAAATAAGATGAGGACTAAATGATAACATTGTCTTTGCCCATAATTATGTCACTGGTAAACTTCGCCAGAGCAAATTAGTATGGTGAATTGCAGAGGCTATGACCAGTAAAATTTAATATGCACCAATCTTATCAACGGATCAACTCATCAATTCTAAAAATTACATAGAAATAACTTATTCAAAAGACTAAGTTCATTTAAAAACAAAGAAGTATTTGCATATGCTAATATAAATATTGACTTAGAAATTACATTACTAGAAGAAAACTGCTTAAAATCTGATTAAAATAATGGTATTTGGGGAATATGAAGCTTCACTTTTGGCTATTATTGAGCAACTGATACTGGACTAGTCTTCTTGCTGTACACAACTAGAAGTGT